AGCGCTGCAGGCTCCCGAGCAGCTGCAGCGATCCGTCTGCGGGTAGGGCCCGGGGGCCGCGCAGCACAAGCTGCCCCTGCTGATGCCCTTTGCCCCCTAGCTGCAGCCTCTCGCACCCTCGGGCCTCTCCAGAACGGACGGGAATAGCTAAACCTCTCCCGGGCGCTAGGCCAGAGCCGGGCGGCTCCTCTTGCTGCAGCTCCTGGTACGGCCCGGCCCTGGCACACCGGCCGCAGGCACCGTCTTTCTCTGGGCTGGCCTTGGCCCCGTCCTTGGGTTTGGCCCGGCTCCAGGGAGCTGGGCGATATCCTGGCGACGGGACCAGACGTCTCTGTCTCCCCGTTCGCCCTGTGCCTTCTGGAGGGGTGGGGGGCACCTTTCTCCGTGCCTGCTCACCCCGGCCCTCTCCCTCTCTCTGCAGGTGGGGCAGGTGTTCCTGTACTTCCAGTGGTAAGTGCTGCCCGTTCTGGCCTGTCCGCATGCACGCGTGTGCATGTGTGTGCACACGTGGGAGCTGGGCCTTGGGGCTGCCTGCACCCTCGCTGCCCAGAGTTCGGAGCAAAGCTGGAGTTGTCCTGGGCCAAGCAGCCCCCTGATCCCAGCAACGCGCTGCCCCCCACCCGGGCGGGGAGGAGAAGGGAGGGGAATGACGCTTCGCATCCTACGTGTGGCCTGGGGCTGTGGAGATGTGACGCGGGAGCCAGGACGTGGCTGTCGCGGCCTCCCGCGGCTCCGCCAGCAAGGTCAAGGCTGCATCTGGACCCGGGCAGCCACCTGGCTGCAGCGATGGAGGCATTTGGGGCTCCGGCATGGGGGCTTCAGGGGCCCTTGCTCTGAGGCGGGGTGGGAACGTGGACTCCAGAAGCAGTGAGGAACACGGCTCCTGTCCTAGCAGCTCTGTGCCCCCACTGAGGCCTGAGTGCCCAGTCGTGGCGGGCAGCCCTGTGTGACTGCCCCTCCACCAGCACATGCCTTTATCGGCTCCTCCGGGGCCGGGGTCTCCGGCAGGCGCTGGATATTGTCCTCCGGCCGAAGCCCCCTAGCTTTGACCCCTGGGTATGTCCCCTCCTCTCCCCGCAGGGACAGCCTGCTCCTGGAGATCGGCTTCCTGGCCGTGCTGGTGGCTCCGCTGCACCTGCTGAAGTGGCGCAGCACGGCCTGGCGCCCCCACGACGGGCTCCCGTTCTGGCTGATGCGCTGGCTGCTCTTCCGGCTCATGTTCGCCTCGGGCGTGGTGAAGCTGACCAGTCGCTGCCCCACCTGGTGGGGGCTCACAGGTGAGGGCCCCGCTTTCCCCTCTGGGGCCAGACGGCAGGCCCTGGTGCTGGTAGCAGAGTCCCAGCCCCTGCACCCACTGGGCCGTGCTGCCCCTCCGGGGTTTTGCCTTCCTCTGCAGCGGGGGCACGGCCTCGGCCTGGGATCTCTGCAACATCCATGACCCCCCTGGCAGCAGCAGGATGTTGGCAGCCCCCTTGTATGGCGGGGGCAATGCCTGGGGCTGTGTCGTGTAGCTCCAAGGCCGCACACAGTGTTTGTCCGGGCTGGTTTGGACGGGGCTGATCCTGTCTCAGGCAGGGCTTGGACAGGATGCGACCTCGCAGCTCCCTCCCAGCCCCGTAACTCTAGGACTCCGATTGTATGGCCTGGTCTGTGGGTGGTGTCCCTCCGTCTGCCCCCGCACCCTGCCCCTCTCCTGCTCCAGACCCTCTCGCTACCCTCCGTGCCAGGCACCTGCCCCGCTCTGACCGCCTGCCCCGGGGGCCCGCTGTGTGCCCGCAGCCCTGACCTACCACTACGAGACGCAGTGCATCCCCACGCCAGCTGCCTGGTATGCCCACCAGCTGCCCGTCTGGTTCCAGAAGCTCAGCGTCGTGGCCACCTACGTCATCGAGATCGCTGTGCCACCCCTCTTCTTCGCGCCCATCCGCCGCCTCCGCCTCTTCGCCTTCTACTGCCAGGTGCGTGGTCCAGCTGGGCCCGGGGGCTCCGGGGCCCTGTGCCTGCCCCATGGGCTGTGTGGGTCCCAGCCTCGCTGCAGGGGACAGACTGATGCCTGAGGGTCTCTGGGCAAAAGCAGGGTCCTGCTGTCATCTACACCCTCTGAGGCTCGGAGCCACGGAGCTGGGCTGAATGCAAAGCAGGCCTGTCCCTCACGCTCCAGCCCCGGGCATCTCCCTGCACCACAGTCCTGGCCTTGTGGTCCCTGGTGCCAGCAGGAGGAGGGTCCTGCTGCTGCCACTTGCATCTCTGGGCAGCAGAGATTGAATGGGGCTGGGAGGCCGTGCAGCAATCAGTGCCATGCAGAGCTCCTACCCTGCAGGGTCTGGGTGGGAGGGGGCGCCCCAGCCCCCAGGAAGGTGTCGGGGGGCTTCTGGTACGGTGCCCCCACCCTGGCTCTGAGCTCCCAGGGTCCCTACAGGTCTTGCTGCAGGTGCTGATCATCCTCACGGGCAACTACAACTTCTTCAACCTGCTCACCATCGTCCTGGCCTTCTCACTGCTGGACGATGAGCACGTGGGGCTGTGGCTGGGGCGCAGCCGCAAGAGGCACGGCACCGGTGAGTCCCTTGGGGGGAGGAGGGGATTCCCCTCTGGGTTCAGTGCCCCCAGTTCCTGGGTATGGGTGCGGGGTTGGGTCCTTTTCCCTGTGCAGCTAGGGGAGTTGTTGGCTGGATAGAGCATTGCCAGCCCAGCTCAAGCAGCCATTGCTAGGTTTCAGAGTCAACGCCCCACACAGAGGGCTTGCGTTTCAGACACTGGCGGGTAGCTCTGTGTTGGCAGCATTCAGCCGTCGTGACGCAGCTTGTCCTGTCTCCTTCCCGCAGCCTGGCCGCCAAGCCTGTCCTCCTTCCTCTCCGGGCTGGTGGAGCTCACGGTCTACGGGCTGCTGCTCTACGGGACCGTCCTGTACTTCGGCCTGGGCATCAACTGGGAGAAGCAGCACATTGAATCCAAGATCGGTACGGCGCTGCCCCCCTCGCTGCAGGGCGGGCCCTGCTAAGTCCAACACCTGGGCCTGCGTGCCCCGTCGAGCCCCAGGACACTAGCAGGATGCAACCCCTAGCAGCCCCTGGGTTTGACCATGCTGGGAGAGCCCCTCCAGGTTGAGGCTGGCCAGGCTGCCCCCAGGCCTCAGATACAGCATCACTCGAGTCGCCGTCATTAGGCTTAAGAGTTAACGGCTCATGGTGCTATCCCTGGGAGCTCATGTTCCAAGCTCCCTTCGTGCTCTGGTACGTCCGAGCAGCCTGGGCCCGGCAGCTCTCAGCCTGATCTGCCCTCTCCGTGCTCGGTGCCTGTGGCTCCTGCACCCCGCCGCGTCCCCAGGGGGTGAGGGGGTAGGGGCCGCGGCTGTCCACTCCTGCCTGGTACTAGCTGACCGCTGTGTGCCTGCCCCCGCCTTTAGCTTTCACCTACCATGAGTTCATGCAGTGGTTGAAGACCGTGATGTTGCCTCTCATCGGGCTGGGGCTGCTCTCCCTGGGCTGGGAGATCCTCTCGTCCATGTACCGGTGAGTGACCGCTGGGGGCCTGGGAGGTGGTGGAGGCATGGAGGAGAGGCTGTGGAGCCCAAAATCATAGACCCTTAAAGCTGTGAGGCCGGTAGAGAGGATCAGCCCCGTCCAAACCAGTCCAGACAAACCCGTGCTCGACCTTATAGCCACACGACACGGTCACCCCTGACACAACCTCAGGCATCATCCCTGCCCCTGGGAAAGCAGGGGGGCTACGGCCGCCAACATCCTGCTGCTGCCAGGAGGTCATGGGCACTGCAGAGAGCCCAGGACAAGGCTGTGCCCCCGCTGCAGAGGGAGGCAAGACCCCCCAGTGCAACCAGTCTGAGCAGGGGGGAAATCCCTCCCTGCCCCAGTGCAGCCTGAGTGCAGGAGCAAGACCCTCCAGCCAGGACCCTGCGGGTTTGGTGCCAGCAGGAGTATTGGCCCAGCCCAGCCCCATCCCCAGCCTGGGCTGCAGCAGCACCAGCGCGTCGGGAGGAGGCTTGAAACCCCCCTGACACACGGAGCAGAAACGGGGGCAGGGGGCAACCAGCACAGCCCAGAAGCCTTAGTGCCCAGGGCAAGGCCGGCTGTGGAGTGGGGGCATTGCCGGCAGCCCTTCCCACGTGCCTGCATCTGACCCAGACCTGCCCTGTGCTCACTCCCCCAGGTGTGCCTGCATCCGGGGCTTCCTGTGGAAGCTGTGGGCTGTGCTGCAGTGGGCCATCTTCACCATCGCCACCTTGGGGATGTTCGGCCTCTCTCTGGTGAGTGCGTGCACCCGCAGCCAGCATCCCAGTGCTGCAGCAGGGAGGACACGGGGCAACCTGGGTTGCGGGGCTGGGCTGGGCCTCCTGCCGAACGCCATGGGGAGAGGGAAAAGCTGGAGCCTGTGGGGGTTGCTGGCGGCGAGCATGGGAGCCCAGGGATCTGGCCCAGCTTTGGGCTATAGTAGACAGTGATGTCAGCATTGCAAGGAGCAGCGTGTGGGAATATTGAGCCTGGGAATTAGGGACTAAAGCACCTATGGAGCATGGGAGCGAGGGGCATGGCCTCTGCATCAGATTGCCTGGACTTTCAGTGCTGGAGGCTGGAAGGGAGAGGGAGCAGGGAAAACCCTGCTTGCACCCAGTCACTCTCCTGTCCAGCCTCCACTCCCTGCTCCGTGTGACACCGGAGTCTGGGCACGACAGACCTGGGTCTGACCCAGTCCACGGCAGCTCTGATGCTCTTGTGGCTCCGGGTGCGAGTTCTGCTTAGGGCAGCATGGCTGGGGCTGGGGGGCAGCAGGTTTTGGGTGCTGCCAGAACCGTCCGTGCCTCGTGACTGTCTTCTCCGCGGCCGCTCAGGTACCATTCACCTACATCGAGCACGAGTCAAACGGGAAGCTGTGGCCCAGCCTGCACCAGCTGTTCGGTGCCGTGGACCGCTACCAGCTGGCCAACTCGTACGGGCTCTTCCGGCGCATGACGGGGGTGGGAGGCCGTCCCGAGGTGGTGCTGGAAGGCAGCTACGACGGGGAGCACTGGACGGTGAGAGGGGGGCTGGGCAGGAGTGGGGGTGTGAGCGATGAAGTTCCCCCTGCTTAGCCGGGTCACCCTGCTGGCTTTGGGGACCATCAGGCCTCCCCTTTGAGGACCTGGCATTTATAGGCTGTGAATCAGGGGCTTTAATAGGGTCTGTGTCACACAGGGGGTGTCCCAGGTTCTGGGGAGCTGATGCATCACCCCCAGCCAAAGCTTGCGGGCCCCACGAGCACCCTGGGTCCGTAGCACACGGCATACCCGTGCCAGTCGCTGTCTTTTTCCCTCCTTGGCTTGGTCCCTTTGGCCGCTGCTGCGGCCCCCCCCACCCCAGAGCCAGCTGCCTTTCAGAGAGGGGCAGTGATGCATGCACGGGGGGTGCACTGCTGGCTGCAACACCAACCTCCCCGCCCCATCGCCACAGGAGATCGAGTTCATGTACAAGCCGGGGAACGTCAGCGCGGCGCCGCCCCTGGTGGCCCCCCACCAGCCCCGCCTGGACTGGCAGATGTGGTTTGCGGCCCTGGGGCCTCACGCCCACAGCCCCTGGTTCACCAGCTTCGTGTACCGCCTGCTGCAGGGCAAGGAGGAAGGTGAGCAAGGGGTGGCGGGGATGTACGTCTGGATGTGTGCCCTCAGCTGGCCCTCCTGCCACTCGCTGGCCCCATAGCGCTGGGGCCGGGCACAGCGTGGGGTCCTGAGCTGATACCCCCCGGTCCCCGCAGTGATCCGCCTGATCCAGGTGGACGAGTCCAACTACCCGTTCAGCGCGCAGCCGCCCACCTACCTCCGAGCCCAGCTCTACAAGTACTGGTTCACAGAGAGCTCCAGCAAGGGGTAAGTGCTGGGGGGTGGGGGTCTCCCGTGGCCTCCAGGGAGTGGAGGGGGGAGCTGGGCTTGCTGGGCTTTGACGGAGCACGTGGGGTGACCGTGCATGGGACGGAGATAGGGTCGGGGCCCAGCCACAGCCCTGGGGAGGGAGCTGGCCTGCAGAGAATAGCTCCCCACACCGCGGGCAGGGTGATCCCTGCAGCGCTCTGCCTGGTCCGAACGAGCAGCAGAAAGGCAGGTGCCCCCAATCCTATGGAGGGTGGTGGGGGGCAGCTGGTGGGTCAAAACCACCCCTCTGGGGAGGGAGCTGAGGGCTGGGCTGAGCCTGTCCATCCCGCAGGGAGCCCCCGCAGCAGTGGTGGCGGCGGCAGCACGTGGAGCAGTTCTACCCCACCGTGTCCCTGGGAGACCCCACGCTGGATGCCCTGCTCAGCCAGTACGGGCTCAAGGTAAGCACCGCCGGCAGGGCCGCGGGCCGGGGGGCTGCGTGCCAGGCTTGGGAAGTGCCCGGCCCCCCTCACGGCTGCCCCGTCCACCTTCCTGCAGGACAAGTCTCCCCTGAAGCGTCCGGCGGAGGC